TACGATTTCTTTTTTATAAAATAAGAGATCGTTTTAAATATAATTTATTAAATAAAAGAGGCGTATTTTTTAATAAAACGTACCTAATTTATTATTATAGTTTTTAATTTTATTAGAGCGATTAGTTACTTAATTTAATTATTTTTAGTTAAGAATTTAATTATAGTTTTACTTTCTAACTATTTAGTTTATTATTAAGTAAACTCTTCGAGTTTTTATTAGTATTTAGTTAAGGCTACTTTATATATTTAATTTTAGGTAGTATTTTATATTTTAATATACTCTTTAATTAAAAAAATAGATTTAATAAAGAGTAACGGATTTAATAAAAAAGTATAGTTATTTAGGTTTAATAAGTTTTAAACGTCCTTTAACTAAGCCTTAATTTATAAAGCGAGGTACTACTTAGGCTAGTCTTATTAATAATTAAGTTTTTATTTAAAAATATTAATAGTCTTTTTAAAAAATATTAGTTTATTTTAAATTAAGCTTAACGAACGTAATAGGGGTTAAATAATATTATAAAAAAGGATATAGTAAATTATAATCCTTAGAAAGTAACTTTTTAATAGAGGTAAAGGGGTTTAAATTAGAGCTAAGTTTATAATTATTATAAAGTTATTATAAGGGTATTAACGTATATAAAAAGAACGGTTATTTATTAAAAATAAAAAATAAGTATAAAGCTCGCTCTAATATAGAGGGTATAAGTAAAGTAGGCTTTAGTAATTATATAACTGAGGTTACGTAACGTATAATAAGACTATAAATAATTAAAGCTATTATAATATATAATTAAGTTATAGTTTAGATTACTTAATATACTAGAGATTAGTAACATTAAATAGGCTAATAAGTATAATATAAATAAGACTAGTATCCTAGAGAGTAAGGGATTTAATAGCTTAGTTTTAGGTATAGTAAAAACTATAGTAATATAAAAAAAAGAGCTTAGTTCGCGTACTTAAGTATTTATAATTAAGTATATTTTTACTAATAATCGAGCTATTAAACTACTAGTTATATATAAAAGAAAGTCGGTATAGTAGTAGTAGTTTCTACTTAAACTTAACCTTTATATTAATTAGGAGTTCATAATAATAAATAATAGCTAAATAATTAATAAGATTACCCTTAAGTAGTTAAAAATAGTATTTTTATTATAGACTAAGACCCCCCCCCTTAGGGAGCTTAGTACACTTAATAAGCCTCGATTATTAGTTCTAAATAGCTATAAGAGTTATATAATAATAAAATTTATATAAGAATATTATAAAAATAACGTCTACTTATTATTTTTATTACTATATACTTCCTATATCCTCTAGCTATTAAATATAGCTATTTTTAAACTTATTAAGTTTAAATATAAAAAGGAGCTTAATAAAGAGGATATAATAAATAATTCTATTATTATTAAAAAGTAGTACTTTTTAAGCTACTATTAAAAAGCTCGTTTAGTTAGTCTAATATTATTAAATATATAAAATAAGTAAAAAGTAACTAAGCTATATCCCCCTAATATAACTAGACTACTTATTAATTTAATAGTCCTACTTAACCTAATTATACTAATTAAAAAAACTATAAATACTAAGTAAGTAATTAATAATATTAAAAAAGTTATTAATTAAGTATTAATAGCGTCTATTATTAACTAGTTAACTTTTAAAAAAGCTAGCGAGCTCTATAATTAATTAAAGTTATTTATAAAGCTTAGTTTAAACTATAATACTTAACGACTACTATTTAAAAAAATAAAAAAGGTATTTAGTAAGTAAGCCTACTATTTAGTAATATTTTAGTACTATATTCGAGTTTTAAAAGCTAAAGTTAACTAATTAAGGCTATAAAAAAAGAAAAGTATATTAATAAACTTAAATATTAAGTTCGTAAATATCTAGGATATATAAAAAGCTTAAGAGGACTTTAGTAACTATTTAATTAGTTCTAGTTAACTTATAGGGGTCGAATTACTTAAGGAGAATAATAATTATATTATTATAATAATAAAAAATAGTTAATTAATTAAGTATATAGTAGTTTTTTTTCTAGCTTTATAGGTATAAAAGATCGACCTTAACGGGATTACGCTTTTAAAAGAAATTATATAATATAATATACTTTTTAATTATATAATATACGTAATATATCTTAAGTACGTGCTTAACGTAATATAATAATTTTAATACGAAAACTACTATTTAATTTAGGATAAGTAAGCTACTTTTTTTATTATATAGTAATATTAATTAAAAAGGTCGATAGTAAAGGTCGGCTATAATAGTTAGTTATAATAATTAGCTATAATAATTAGCTATAATAGTTAGCCATAATAGTTAAAAGCGGCCCTTAACTATAGAGGTTCTAAACTTTAATAGCGACGTAAAAGTTTTTAAAAAAAGGGCTAAATAGGCTAATATTTACTACTCTTCGTACTAAAGCTTATAAAAATTCTTTTTATCCTTATTATTTTTAATATTACCTAAAGCTACTCTCTATTTAAACTAAATAAATTTACTAAATAAATTTATTAAATAAATTTACTAAACAAATTTACTAAATAAACTTATTAATATATAAACTATTACTTTAATAAGAACCTATTTTCTTAGTATATAGTTAGTAATTAGTAAGCTAGAACTTTTTAAAAATACCCGTCGATAAGTCTACCCCTCTCGGGCTAGGCGCCCTCTTTAGTCAGCTTAATATTATAACTATTATAACTAACGTAAGTATACTTAAGAAATAATAAAGTACTTTTTAATAATACGGAATTTAACTAAGTAATATTATAAATATTATAAATAACCGGGCTAATATAAATATTAAGATTTAATATATTAATATTAACTTAGTTATAATAATTATAATAAATAAGCTAGAGGTATATAGGGTTAGAATAATAAGCTAGTACCTTAAATAGCTTTTATAAAACCCCTCGGATAATAATAATACTTATATAAAAAAATAGATTATATTAAACTTAGCTACTTATATAAGCTAGTATTAAGAGGTTTTATACGTATTAAAATAAGTAAAGCTCGCCCTATAAGCGGGTAATAAAAGGTTAGGAGCTATTAATAAAAGGGAGATAATAGTCGAGTTAATTAACTATTTTAGTTAGTAGTTAGGTATAGAGCGTATTATACTTAGTTTTCTTTAATACGTAATATACGGTACGGCCCCGGTAGATTGCTCCGTTAGGGGAAATTAATTAAGTATAGTTAGTAGCGATGTTTTAATATTATGTTTAATAGGGTGGCCAAAAGGGGGGGGTGGCTAAAAGGGGGTAGGTCGACTTATTAGAGATTATAAAATAATAGCGTGCAAGTCGTCGAATGAGGTGCATTACTACTGAAATGTTATTAGTGTAGTACAAAGATAAGCGATAAGAGATTAGATAAACCTGGGATACCTGAGGTAGGAGCGGGCGGAAGGGTTCTGTTATGGCCGATGCTTATAAGGGGGGCTGCGCGCTCGGGCCATGTGTCTTCTGCGGATACGTGCATGATCTTGTTGCACCTTGCAACACGACTATGCTAATGCAGAGTGTATCGTACGAAAGGTGGCCTATGCCTCACATCACGTGTGCGACTGAGTCAGCGTCCTCGGACCACTTCACGATGTTGGCGATGTCCCTTTTGTCCATGTTGACGGGCTGGCACCTGGCCAACCGGGGCCAGTATATCTCTGGCCATCCCAATAATCTCCTAATGGATGAGAAAGAATCCAAAGGGTGCAAAACTTTCCTCTAATTTGGCCAATTCCAGATGCCCGCAGCACCGCTAATCTGAGTTTCGCTGGGATGCATCTGCAATCTCGGATCGTTGACACGTCTAAGGTTGGACAAGTCCCAGGGATGACCCAAGCAGCCCGGGTCAGTGCATCGGTATTGATGCCGTAGCTTTTCCCCTTGGCGCCGACGAAAGCAGTCGACAGCTCGGTGATCCTGATGGCCTCAAAAGTGGTGCTGCGTTCAGCTGGCATCGGGCGTACGAGACCTCAATTCTTCTAACAACGAGGAGCGCTCAGTATACAGCGGCCATGTTGGTGATACCCTGGTGCCCTGGTACTTATGACGAAGACCCGGCCACGAGCGATGGATGTCTCCGATACGTCAATGTCCATAGTTCCTGCCCCCCACTGCTCATCTTCTTCTCAAGTGGCCACTGAAGTGCTGTCAGTGACAAAGACCCTGGACTGGAAAAATGGGATGTGTGGCATTGCACCCAGTGTAGCCCGCATCCAACCATGGCGTGGCCGAGACTACCAGTCTTTGTGATAGTGCTTCCTCGTCTTCAATGACACCGCATCGGCAGAGGGAAAGCGTGCTGTAATGGTCGCATTGTGTCGTTAGTCCATAATTGAGTTACAGAAAACCTGTTATCTCCAACTGCCTCATCAATAACAGCGACAAATTTCACAAGCCTAGTTCCAGCCTCCGCGATTGCTCTTAGCATGCCCATGTTCTCCTCTGTCTATACTAGCCTGAGCTTGCCGTCTTGGCGACCACCTGCTCATCGCTTAACTGCACTCTGACGGTTGGTGTCCAAAAGCCCAAGCAGGATCCCGGCTGCGTCAAAGGCCCAAACTTGCCATCTTAGTGATCACTCAACTTCCATCGACCAGTCCGGCACGACACAGATACCGAATCAGCAGCCATGGCGAACGAGCAGATCTCGCTGCCGCATCTGGTGATGATACTACTGGTGACGGCGTTCGTGATACGGTTCCTGTTCTTCTTGCCGGCCCCGCCACCGGCGTCGCGATAGAGCGCTGCAGCGGTACTACGCACGCGTGAGGCGGCGGTAGAGAGGGTGTAGCAGATGTTTTCTCAAGTGGGCCGGCGGACGATTCTGTGAGATCTACAGAGAAATAGCGGGAATATCTAGACGACGTTTGAGAGTAATCACGCAGGACGGATCCGTCGGCTACTTGCTATCTTAGTGGCGACTTGTTCAGCGCTCGATTGCGATCTGACTGCTGGTGTTCAGGTTCTAAAATGGGATCTTGGCTGGTTTGAAGAGCCCAAGTCCGTTCTCGTGGTCCTTCATCTCTCCAACGATGAACAGTATATCCTCGTGCAGAGCTGCTGCGTGTCCTGATCGCCGCCGCTCGGCTTCGAGACCTCTGCGCCGGAACATCGCCGTAGTATTAACCAATCTCCGCTGGTGGCTGATCACATCCGGTTCGAGGACACGGTCATTTTCCTGTAGAGCCGTATTCGAGTCAATATACTTGACAGAAAGAAAGCAAGAATGGACCTTACCTACTCTGCTCGAAGTTAGCGTACGTGAGCTGGTGTCAATGCTGGCGCCAATGCTGGCGACGGACTCCTCATTGAGGGGGCTGGGGTACAGGAGCGGGTACTCCTGCTGATCGGTCCAGGCGCTGAAATCTTCCAGAGCGAAGGTGAATGGTAGCCTGGTCGCAATCCTGTGAGCCGTCAAGCACAGGGTCTGCAACCACATCCTCATGCTGAGTGGTCGTCACTGATGCAGCAGATACTGAGGGTGGGTGCAAGTGTCCTGATAGTCGCGATGGCGATAAAAGTGACGTTTCCAAAAGGCCGAGTCGACGGAGCCAACGTCGGACAGAGCCGAACAATGATTGCTGGATTTCAAGTAGAAGGCTCGTAGACCATAACGTTGATTGTGGCTGCAGCTTTGGACGTCGAGACGATAAGGCAGTAAGGATAGTAGGCGTGTCAATTCGCATGCCGAAGTGTTCAGCGAGTCGGGTGGAATGCCGGTGGAATGCCGGAGAAAATCTGGATGAGTAGCCACAACAAGGTGAATTTAGCGGCCGAAAGTAGTGGTCTTGTGAGACTCACACTTGCGTCGAACGTAAAAGTAGGCAGAGATCATGAGGATCACAGATGGAACTGTCGATTCGAGGTTTTGCTGAAACCTAACGGCTTCGGCTCTTTTTGACCAATATCTTGCATCTCTATCTCTCAAGTTGAACATACGCAAGAGGGTGTAAAAGAGGAAACGTGTTCAGTCCTGGATGCCTGCTGCCTTTGCCTCGCGCGACTTGGGGTCCACGAGGGTTTCGGTGTCGCTTCGCACTGGTGCCCGCATTCTGTATATGGCGCTGTCTTGCCCTTGCCGCCCTGGTGCACCTTGGATGCGGTGCCGCGCTTGCCGCCGCTGGAGCTCAAAGCCCCTGGGCCGCCACGAATTACGGGCGTGAGCGGGATGGTGAGTAATAATAATATTTTGTTGATATACACGTCAGCAGGGCAAACACTTTCGTCCGGTACGAAGTCCAGCAATCGTATTCCACTGCGAATATAGTATGAAAGACCGAAGCTGGTGGACAGAGCCCAGAGTTCCTCCGTCGGGTGCAAGTACCTCATGTGAGGTAGGCGAGAGGGCCGTTTGCAGCGGCCCAACCACCTTCCGAATCCCCTTTTCTGCCGTGAATACTCCAGCATGTTCTGTGTCGGGGCGGATCGTCAATCGCCAACCAGAGTGAAGGCAGGCTGTCGATTGCGATCCTTACGCAGCGAGCCCAAGGTAGATGCAAGGGATTGCGGTTTGAATTCAACATTGCCGCTTCCATTTCCAGCAACTAGCAATTCGGCTGTCGCAATGGTTCTTCCTGCAGTACCTAGATGTTGCCCTATTTGAGCAGGAGGAGCTCGGTTCCGAACTTGGCCCGGGTTTTTGTAATCCCCGAACCTTCCATGCTCCCGAGGTCCATTGGGTTCCGCGCTATCAGATTGTAGCCATTGTTCCTGCAGCTCAAGGCTTTGTGGGGTCTGGTCATCCTTTCAGCGGCGGGCCCAACTTCCGGCGGAGCCTTAGAGGAAACAATAGGGTGGCTATCTCTTACCAACTCTGACATGAACTTTGAATATCCTGTCAACCGCTCCACTCCACCCCTGGCCGAAAAGTCACCTTTCCGATAAGAGCTTCTCAGGCTCATGTAACTACTTTGACTTGCAGCAAGCACGAACACGACCGCAGTCGAGCGATGAATAGCTGGGCAGGCCAACTCTGACCTGAACCTTTGCTATCCCGTCGACCACTCCCTTCCACGCCTCGCCGAACAGGCCCTCTTTGCAATGAGAGCTTTCCGGGACCATGGAATCAAATTTTCTCTGCCCGCTTTGACCTGGGCTCGGGTGGTAGCGTCAGGTAAGCACTTCTCCATTTTTTTCCTCGACGCCTGGTAAGCCTTCTACACCTACCTGCTCACACATTAATCAACAGACGTGCCTTCCAACCGAAAGATTCAATCGCTCGTTCCACTTTCAATCAGTACAATCCCGACCGCTGCGATCAATTTGCCCCGTCACAAAGTTGCCTTCCTCTTTTGCCTTGCTTACAACGCGGTTGGTCTTCTTGCCTCACTGCCATTCCCGATAGCGGACCGTTCTTCCGCTCGTTGTCGAGACCACGGGAAACCATGGTGACCTGGTTGACGTTAGGACACTTCAACTGGTTCACGTCGGTGCTGCCGACAGCAGCGCTTATACCCATTCAAATTAATCAAACAAATAAGTTAAACAAATAGTTAAATATAGGAATTTCAGTAAGTTAAATAATTAAATATCGTAAGGCCCTATATTTAATATATTTAATTAAATATAAAGTCGCTTAGAAAAAAGAAAATCCGGGGCTGGGCTAATTAAAAATTAAGAGTTTTGCTATCCGGGCAGTACTGTTTGGCTATCCGGGCAGTAACCCACTTTTTAGACCAATGAGGGCTCACAGCTGCAGAGCTCGGACCATAACCCCACACCCGTACCCGCTGCACTTACACACGGGCCACCCGGCGCAATTACGTAAGGCAGCCGCAGGCACGTTCAGTTGCAATTGCCCACGGTCGCAATTACCCACGGTCGCAATTGCCTACGGTCGCAATTGCCTGCTCAATTACTTACTTAATTACCTGCTTAATTACCTACTTTACTGTCTATTTCTATAGGCAATTACAACCGTAGGTAATTGCGACGGTACGTACTTACGGCTGCCTTACGTAATTGCTGCGCATATGCGCTAGGTGGCCCGTGGGTAGGTGCAGCGGGGTAAAAAAGTTTAGAGTTCAGACGGCAGGCTCTGATTAGTCTAAAAAGTGGGTTACTGCCCGGATAGCTAAACAGTACTACCCGGATAGCAAAACTCAAAATTAATATTCCTAACTATACCTTATAAAAGTTTTTAATTAAGAATATAAATACTTAAAGCAGGATTCGAACTTACGACTCTTTATTTATAATTATAAGTTTAGTATTATACTACTTAACTAAATAAATTATTAATAATTATTATAAAAAAAAAGCCTAAGTATTATAAAGCCCTAAATTTAATATTTTATTATATTTAAAAATTTAAAAAACCTCTAATACCCCCTTTTTTTAATATTAATAAAATTAACGAAGTTATATATTATTATTTCTAACCTTTTATAACTACTATAATTATTATTAAGATTAATTAAATTATATATTAATTAATTTACTATATTATAATTAATTAATTAGTAATAAGTTATATAATTTTTAATATATAGTTATTATTTTAAATTATTTCGTAATTATAAACCCTAATTAACGCTAGCCTCGTATTATTAACTAATTTTAATAATTATAATAGCCTCTTTACTTTTTTAAAAATAATTTAAAAAAGGAGGACTTTTATTAATAATAATTAAATATTATAAAAAAGTATAAAGTTAAGGAAGTTATAAATCTACTTAAAAAAAGTCTTTATTTAAAAAATCTATAATAAAAATATTCGAAGTAAAGTTTTTTAGTTTTATTATTATTATAATAAAATAAGTATTATTATTTATTTTAAAATAGTAACTACGAGCTTAGTAATAACTTATTTAAAATTAAAATACTAAATAATAAATCTAAGCTTTAGTAAGTTATGATATTTATTAGAATCCTCTAAGTACGGCTTTATACTAAAGAGATAGAAACTTATTTTTAATATTATTATAAAAAGCTAAGTAATAAGAATTAAGGAATTAGTAATTAAGTATATTATTAATAATAATAATAACCTATTTATAACTTTTTATAATCCTTATTTCTAGGCCCTCTTTTATTAATTAGATTATAATATTACTAACGAACTCTTATTATTATATAAAAATATAAAAAAAGAGCTAAGTAGGATCTTTATTAAAAAAAAATATATAATTAGGGTAAAGATTTAAAAGTTAATAATAAAAGTCTATTTATTATTTAATTTATAAACCTTATTAATATAAAATATTATTATTACTATTTTTATTTATTTTTTAAACTATACTAAGTAATAAATATAATACCTTATTATTTTATAATAATAATATAATATTTATAATAGGGCTAATATTACTTAGATTATAAAATCGGTAATAAATAATTAGGAATTAAGTAACTAAATTAAAATAGTTATTTATAATAATATTTTAAATAACGATACTTACTTAGGTTATTTATATCCTATATTATTTTATACTTATACTTAAGAAAATATTCTTAACTAAAAAATAAGGTATTATGGTTATATTCTTAACCTCGTTAATAGGGCCTTTTTTTTTAGTAATAATAAAAAAGTATTTAAATAAGAATTAAATATATTAATTAATACTAAATAATTTTAAAAAGATCTTAATTTTTAATATATAAGGGGCCCTATTAATAAGCTTTAGAACGTTATTAAATTTATTTACTTATTACTTTAATAATATAAAGCCTTTTTTAAAGTTAATAATAAGATTAATAAGAACGATATATTTACTCTTTTTAAAAAGTTATTATAAGAGCTAATATTAGCGCTTAATAATAATATAAAATAGAATTTAATATACTTTATAATATAGCGCTTTTTATAAAAAAAAAAGTAAATTTATACTTTTTTAATAACTAATCGAGCTTATAAGGATTTAAAATAATAAATCCTTATCGAGGACGTTTTTAATAATAATAATTAGTAATTACTAACTAAGCTAAAAGTAGTACTTAAGCTATTTTATTTCTAAATAATAAAATATTAAGGCTAAAGTAAAAGAAATAGTTATAGCTATTTATAAAAAGTAATAATAAGTTTTAAATACTTTATTAACCGTTTTAAAAAATAAAAAAAGTTATATAGTAGTTTTTTTCTAGCTTTATAGGCGCAAAAGATCGACCTTAACGGGATTACGCTTTTAAAAAAAATTATATAATATAATATACTTTTTAATTATATAATATATATAATATACCCTAAGTACGTACTTAACGTAATATAGTAATTTTAATACGAAAACTACTATATAATTTAGGATAGGTAAGCTGCCCTCTTTAGCTACTTATTAATAATAAGCTAAGTAATATACTTATATAGTAGTACTAGTTAAAAAGGTTAATAATAAAAGTCGGCCGTAATAGTTAGCTATAATAGTCGGCTATAATAGTTAAAAGCAGCCCTTAACTATAGAGGTTCTAAACTTTAATAACGACGTAGAGGTTTTTAAAAAAAGGGCTAAATAGGCTAATATTTATTATTTTATTATACTAAAGTTTATAAAGATTCTTTTTATCCTTATTGTTTTTAATATTACTTAAAGCTGCTCTCTATTTAAACTAAATAAATTTACTAAATAAATTTACTAAATAAATCTATTAAATAAATCTACTAAATAAACTTATTAATATATAAACTACTATTTTATTCTTAATATATAGTTAATAATTAGTAAGTTAGAACTAAAAATACTCATTAATAAGTCTACCCCTCTTAGGCTAGGCGCCCTTTTTAGCTAGCTTAACGCTATAACTATTATAACTAACGTAAGTATATTTAAAAATTAATAAAGTACTTTTTAATAATATAAAATTTAGCTAGGTAATAATATAAATATTATAAATAGCTAGGTTAATATAAATATTAAAATCTAGTATATTAATACTAGTTTAGAAATTATATTTTATAAAATTAGAAATCTTTTTAATATAGGTTATATTATAAATATAAGGGAATATATAAGGGGCCCCCTAACTTTTAATAAAAAGAAGTATATAATATAGGATCTAATTACTTATATAGGCTAATATTAAGAAGTTTTATATATATTAAAATAAGTATAGCTCGCTCTTTAAATAGTTAAAAGCGGGGGAAGGTCGGGAGCTATTTTAATTAATAATTAAATATAGAATATAATATACCTAGTTTTCTTTAATACGTAATATATAGTACGGCCCCGGCGAATTACTCCGTCGGGGGGATAAAAGAAGTTATATAATAAACTTTTTAAAAAAAAATAGATCTTATAGCTTTTTAAATTATAACGTCGTAATTATAATTAATATAAATAATATTACTTTATTAATAATTAGCTCGTTATTAATTTATATCCTAACTTCTTTTTTAATTTTTAACTTTAAATAATATCCCTTATTATATTTAGTTTAAATATATACTTAGAGAGCGAATAGAGCTATTTCTTAATAATAATTTTAACTTACGAGGATATTTTTAATTATTAATTATTAATACTTAGTAAGTCTTTAATAAGTATTATACTAAATTAAATAACTCTCTATTTTATATTATAATAATTATTTTTTATTTTAAATAAGGATTAAAATAGTTAAAAAAGAGGTAGGATATACCTAAGTAGAGCTACTAACTATTTAATATAAAAAAAGGATTTTATAATTATTAATAAAAATAGTATATAAACGAAATAGTAAATCCTCTTTCTTTTTATTATTTAAGTCCTCCTCCTTTATTATAATAATTATAAACTACTTTTATTATTCTTATAATTTTAAAAAGGATTATAAAAAACTTATAATATTAATAATAATTAATATCTCGAATAATAAACGTAATAATTAACTACGTACCTAAGCTTAATTAATATTACTTATAAATTATCCCTTAGCTAGTCCTTAACCTAATTTAATAATAAATTAACTATTAATTAACTTATTTAATATTAAGTAACTTTATACTTAATATCTTTACGATTTCTATAATAATAATAAATTATAAAAGGATATTTAGCTTTATAAAATTAATTTTAACTTTATAATAATTATTAATAAGATTTTTTATATTAAAAAAGGTTTAATATTTTAAAAACTAGCTTCGTAATAGTATTATAAAAATAAAAAGTTAATTTTTTAATTAAAAAAGCTAATCGAAATAAAGTTTATAAATTAGTATTATAAGGACTTTTATAATAGCTTTATTTAATTCCTAATTAAGAAATTAGTTTAATTTATTAATTAATTATTAAATAATTAAATATAGCGCGAGAAATGAGCTAAATAATTATATATAAACCTTATATTTAATTTATTTATATAGGTATAAGCGCTGGCCGACAGGCTTCTTGTGGAAGAAGTTATGGTACAAGAGCGAGTACTAATGCTTGTCGGTCCAGGGCGCTGAAGTCTTCTATGATAATACGTACCATTTTGAGCTGTAATTCGATGTCGTCTCCAACTTTCCCCAGCTGATCGGCCAACCCAGACCTCGGCACGACTTCCCACAATTACATCACAATCGTCATAGCCTTCCTCTGAGTCCTTTATCCATCAGTCGATCGCGACGCACATCTTACAGCAAACCATACACCGGTATCCTAGCCAGTCAGACGGCGGCGTTTTCGCCTCAACAAGAATTTTTCCATCCTAGACCCAGGCCAACTCTATTGGCGGGCAATTAGCTGACAGCTTTAAGCGTACTCGCATCGCTCATCGCACGCTGAACTACCTACACGGCGGTGTGCTTACGATCTCCTCACGCCCTTCCAACAGACACAACGCACAATCAATTTGTCCAAGCACACACATGGATGGATCACAATGAAAGGCGTCAGGGCGGCGGACCGGATTATTCAATGATATGCCAGGAATTCAACGGCAGGCGAGCATCACCATTCTGGTTGCGAATAGGCGTACGACACAGGGAGAGAGACCACAGAGGCCAACTGCTGTTTAGGATCAAAGAGATGGGTTACCAAATCTGTTCCTGCATAGAGGTGTAATCCGAGCAGCTCCTTCGTTGCTTCGACCCTCCTGTTCTCCCTGACTAACCCATGTCCGAGAGGGCTCTGACACTGGTCGACTCTACAGTTTTTCGCCTCATTGGCCCACTTCGATGCTCCTAAGAAACCTTTTTCAGATTTAAACGATTGATTCTGTGATCCTCTTGATCTCGACCTACTTTCGCGTCGCCAGTCTCGATAACACAAGGTCGACCAACTTCGGAACCTGCGCCACAGTGGCCTTGTGAGATCTGTACTTGCGCCAAACGTAAAGGGGGCTCGGCGAGGAAGACATTGATACTCCTTGGCTATTCCTGCCATTTTTCTGCCAAATTGTATTTAGGTCGGTATACTCTCTCGCTGGCGACGGTCGATGCATAAAGGAGCTCGACGAGGAAGGCATGGATGATCCATTGGCTCTTTCTACCCAGCCCCCACGATGATGTGCTCCGATCGGTACACTCACTCGGAGAGAGAGACCGTATTTGGATCCATTTGGATCAGAGTCAAGGCGGTCGGTAAGAAGAACAGCAACATGTATGCCACCTCATCCAATAAGAGGGAAGGAGTGGCGAGGCTAACAGCACTTACGGACTTGTATCTTAGTGGAAGTACGTAATTTGGAAGCATTAGACTCATTACCTAGGTGGAAACAGTATGACGGCAATGATTGCAGCCATTAGCCCCGCCGGAGATATTGGCGCCTGATGGGGGTGGTATCAGAGAACTGAAGGGGTAGTGTGGCTATGTAATTTTTGGCAATGTGGCTAGAATGTCAGGCTTTATCTCAACAAGGTACCTTTTGAAAGGTACTCGAACGATTTGGCCAGGTCACTGGCGGTGCAATTTGTTCTGCGGGTGCGGGTGGGTAGGATTCAATACGTGAATCACATCGGGGGCAGTGCCTACCTCAACGTACCTCAAGTCGCGTGCGGTTTCCGTGGTAGGTATGTCAGGTCAGGTGGCGGTGGTTGTGGCTGCCTAAGGTAGTGTACGTACCTACCACCCGCCCGTCGAAGTGGACCTGAGGTCGGAGGTCCAAGTAAGCTGTGGTCCAAGCTCCTTCCCGTCCAGCCCTTGCATCGGGTCCTGGCCTGCGTCTCTCAATTCCTCCTCTACACACCTCACACCTCATACCTCTCTCTCTCTCTCTCTCTCCCACTTTTCTCTATCATACAATCACCTCCCACACATACACACAAACGCACCGTCACACACACATACACACACACACACACACACACACACACACACACACACACACACACACAATCGCACATGACCATCCACATCAGAAGTCACCCAAATTGTTGAACCTCGTCATCAAACTCAAATCATTCGACTGTGCGCTCCGCGACCGCGTGTCCCACGCCCAAATTCTTTCAACTCAAGCGTAAGCTATTTCTACTCGATGCTACAATCACTCCCGATGTGCTAATTTAAACGCAGCGCAGAAATGTTCGCGCAATACCGTTCTCAGCACCTTGATCGCCACTATGCGCGCCTTCATTGGGATGCCGAGTTGGAAGCCATGAATGGTTAGTCGCTCCGCATATACGACACAGTACTCCTCCTGCTTGAGCACTATTTCTAACATCAGGAAATAGCCAGAGATGACAAAGCCGCTTCAGACTAGCAGTCAGGCAACGGCGATGACATCCAATTTAACCCGACAATGTCCAACATTGTGCCTGAGTCCGACCACGACGACGACCAAAGTGCGATTCTTCGTCAGGCTGCATACTACCAGAGCCGGTTTCCAGTCAATTTCCCCTACAGAGACAACGTTTCCGACGAAGACTCCGACAGGACATCAAACCAGCGCTATGCGCCGAGCTCCTCTTACGATCTCGAACCTCCGCCTTTATTGTTGGTGGAGACAGCCATGGACAATGAGGAAAGCCTGACCGGCAGTCCGACGCTTGATTGGGTGTGCGGTTTTATGGATAATTCTTTGAACGCAATCGATTACTTAATGCCAGAGCAAGTTCGGGAGGTGGTGCGCTTCGTGCTGGACCATGTGTGGGCATTCTGGTGTGGCGTTGATGACAGAGAGGGCTTTTTAGTCTAAAAAAAAAGAGAACACCGACAACAGGTGTCCCCACGAGGGGGTAATAGAACTTTTTGGGACCGGCAACGTCTCCTTGCCATTAGCAATGTCCAGCATGATAGTGCGATTATCCCTTGATGTCATGGTTTCAAGATTGCACGGGTGTTCGACACCTGTCAGTGCATTGATTCTGCAATGGTATCTTTCGTGCTGTTTGCAGATCTGTTGCATTTGTACGCTACTGGCTTTTCCATGCGCGCTCCACACAGTCATGCATGGCATCAAAAGGACATTGTTCTTGAGGATAATGTTGCGCGGCTTGCTTGCTTCCAGAAGATGGACGCGACAATGGAGTGTTCAGAGCTCGTCGCATCACGACACGCCATGATAAGGTGTCTTACCTCACCTTCCCAACTTCCCCTCCGATAAGACACGATTGATGAGGAAAGTGGAGAGTAAGTGGTTCTCAATACCTAGGTAAAACATAACTTTCCTTACAAAAACTTCCCGTTGGTCGCCGTCTTGCCGAAATCACGAGCAAGTTGAACCGCTTGCTTCTTTCATTAATTTTCATCCTCATCGGCGATCTCCTGTCTTGGACTTGCCCTCCGTCACTCGAGCGGATGATCGGCTAGCTTGGCCAACAGAGCGAGCTTGCGTCGCCATTTCGCCATCAAAAGTGAGCAGCTGCTTCGTTTCCGTCTCCGTCGCGGGGCATGCAATTCTCACCACAGCTCCTTCAGGTGCCCACCTAAACCTCGAGGGCTTCCTGCATCGTCCTCTTCTGCCCGAAAATCTTGTCCCAAAGGGTCTACAAACTCCCTACGAGACGTCTTTTCGAATTTGTTCATTTTGCCACTCCAATCGCATGTCGCTTTCATAGCGTTGATTTCACGCTCAAGTTTGCAACGCGAAAGTCTTGTTTCGAGTACAACAAAGATACCGTCCTCATACAATCGTATGCCCTGTCATCAAAAACGATCGCATCTTCCTTTCCACGGGTGCATATCCCACCATTCCTCTTGGCCCTTTTCCCGGAAACCTCTGCGTCGGCATCAAATTCAGAACCCTTGCGCTTCGACTTGTGTACCCGACTTCTGCGGTCGAATTTCCCGGCTAGTACCGGTGCATGAGTCAACATTTCCATCCCGAGTTACATGGCGGTTTTGCATCGAAATCGCCATATTGAGTGTTGCGCGTGTAGTAAAAGAGTACACCATATTGTGTGATTTCCTTTGAAAGCCTGATCCTGCTGGAGCCGATGTTTTGCAAGCATGAGGTTGGAAAGTGAAAAAGGAAAAGAGCCCACCACATATCCCACCATTTAACTTACAATAGCCCTTGCTCCCCACCTTGCCCAGGGAATGGTCTCCCCGTCGTGTTTCCCGCCGTTTCCCGTCGTGTCCACACCGAGAACCTTTGTCCCGAGGACATCAGGAAGCTTGTTCCAACTTCACACTCCTGTCGACTCGTCGAAGAGAGTTCCCAGGAGTCCTGTCCCACTTGGACGATACTCTTTCCCTTGAGCACGTATAGAAATACTAGTAGACGACATCCAGGAATTGCATGCGTTCATTGACTGTGACCTTAAGACTATGAAGGAGAGTCCACTGTGAGTGCACACGGCCGGCGGAAGCAGGACGGACTCGAATATCTTGGACAATATGGTTCGCGTGATGTTGGATGTCGATCAAGCCGTTGATTGCTTCGCAAGGTGAGAGTTCAAAATTGGTGATGAGAAGCAACGAGTAGGAACCAAAGATTTGTGACCCGCGCCCTGTGTGTGTGTGTGGCCCAGGCACCCGGTTATGGCAGGACTTCGCCATCGCGTGGGAGAGTCAGGATACCGGACATGCGGCAGAAAAGACTAGTTTTGTTTAGAATCGAACACCGGGCCGCACGGGCGAACGGACGTGTCTTCTGGCAATCTGCTGAAGGCCATCATGATCAGCATTTGTGTCAAGGACAATAAGGGTAGGTCTTTTGAGGGGAAAGCTCGCAGATCCTTTCATGAATGAAGACGGCGATGCAAACAAAGACGCTGCCAACAATGAGCACGCGGAAGACAAGGCGTCGGAAAAATGCGGGCAGCGCCAGCGAACTCAAAAGCCAGAAAATGGTGCTGAGCATCGGCATTAGAAACCATAAAATGCTGCATACCTGTTTCTGTTGCCATACGATCTGAGCCTCATCATCATGACTCGTCACTGTCGCCGCACTTGTCGGCCTCCCGGGGCCATGTAGGTCCTTCGTCTCCGTCTCCTCTTTTCTCTCCCCGGACGTGCCTCGTGAGGCACTCCCAGCACCTCTGGACCCGGAACCACCGGCTAGCTGTTGTTTTTGTTGTTACTCTAATAGTTTGCGCTGATTCATCTTCTCCTTGGCAAATGCGGACGGCTGAAAATCTCGGCCCACCTTGGCTGGGTCTAGGACTGAGAGTCTCGCGAGATCTGAACTTGTGGGGGCCATATCCGAGCGCAATGGCTGCTCCCATTATCATCCTGTCGTTGGCACCTCTTGGGTCAGATTTCAGGACGTGATCGTGTAGAGTCCGCGTATCTGCATCGGGAGGGATGTCCGTCGCTCGGGTGTTGATAGCAGTAGCGCACATACCCATTTAAATCAATTAAACAAATAAGTCAAATAAATAGTTAAATATAGGAATTTTAGTGAGTTAAATAATTAAATATCGTAAGGCCCTATATTTAATATATTTAATTAAATATGAGATTACTTAGAAAAAGGAAAATCCGGGGCTAGGCTAATTAAAAATTAATATTCTTAACTATACTTTATAGAAGTTTATAATTAGGAATATAAATACTTACGGCGGGATTCGAACCTACGACTCTTTACTTATAATTATAAGTTTAGTATTATATTACTTAATTAAATAAATTATTAATAATTATTATAAAAAAAAAAGCCTAAGTAGTATAAAGTACTAAATTTAGTATTTTATTATATTTAAAAATTTAAAAAACCTATAGTACCCCCTTTTTTTAATATTAATAAAACTAACGAAGTTACGTATTACTATTTTTAACCTTTTATAATTATTATAATTATTCTTAAAATTAATTAAATTATATATTAATCAATTTACTATATTATAATTAATTAATTAGTAATAAGTTATACGATTTTTAGTACGTAGTAATTATTTCGGATTATTTCGTAATTATAGACCCTAACTAATGCTAGTCTCGTATTATTAACTAATTTTAATAATTATAATAGCCTCTTTACTTTTTTAAAAATAATTTAAAAAGGGAGGACTTTTATTCATAACGATTTAATATTATAAAAGGGTATAAGGTATTACGACTTAATACGTATAATAAGGCCAGGGCCTCGCCCTATAGGACCTACGGTAGCTATTATACTATATATATAAAAATACGGACTTAGGGTAACTCCTCTCGGAATAGAAGAACTATAAATAAATTACGTAACTACGATTATATAATAAAATAAAAAACGGATACTTATAAATAAATAGGACGGACGATTATAAATAAATAAAACGGACGATTATTTAGTAAATAGTTAAATAATAATAAATAAAAATACTATAAAGGATATATTTATAAACAAAACTTATATATAATATAAACTTAAATTAGGCTTAAAAATAAACTTTTTATAGCTTTTTTAATAATTAACTTAATATTAAATCTTATAATCGCTTTTAATTATTTTTATTAATAACCTTTTTTAATAAAACTATAATTAATTATTAAAACCTTATTTACTTTATAACTTATAAATATAGCTTTAAAGAAACTATTTATAATTATAATACTATTTATTTAGTATTCATAACCTTAACTTTTATTAATATACTTATTATAATTAGCTAATTATAATATTTTAATTACTCCTATTTAATAAGTTAACTTTACGAAACTTATTAAGTAATAAAACGAACGACGATATTTTTTAAAACCCTAAGTACTTTTTTATTTAATTCTAAGTAACTTATTAACTTAGTTAGCGAGCTAGCTAGGGTTAAAAATAATGAGATACTTAATATTATTTATAACTTTAATAATAACGTAGTTTTTAAAAAAGTAAATTATAAAAAAGTACGGCGTACTATTAAAAAGAATAATAAATAAAATAAAAAACTTATAGAACTTTTTAATAATAACTCTACTTAGATAACCGTAATTCTAATTAAAAATAATAAAAATATTGCTATTTTTTAAAATATAATTAACGAAGCTATAATTAACTTAAAAATTAAAAAAAAAAAAATAGATAACTTAGAATAAGAAGTTAGAACCCTCTGAGCTACTATTAATATTATTAAGATTTTTATAAATAAATAAAAGAAACTTAAGCTTAATATACTTACTACTTTTAATAAAATTACTAAACGTTTTAAAAAATTCCTAATTTAAATTAGAACTTATTAAACGTTTTATATTATTAACTTTTATAATAAGACTAAACGAGTTATTTACGTAATAACCTTCCTTAGAGAACGAGCCCTAAAATAGTTCGAACCTTTTTAAAAAAAATTCTTTAATAATAACGGTTATTTATTATATTATAAGGAAGAAATTATAAATATTTTTAGTAATATAATAAGATTTTAAAATACTCTTAAATCCCTATTTTAGGACCCTAATAAAAAATAATAAATTAAAAGAGACTTAGTTAACTTTTAATAAACTAAGTCCGCTTTATACTACGTTATTAAGTTTAAAAAACTTATAATATAACTCGATTTTACTAAAAAAACCCGTATTTATTTATTTTATTAAGGATTAAAAAATAAAGTTAAGGACGAACTTAGTAAAATAGAAATACTAACGGAATTTTTATAATATATCGAGCTTATTATTAAGATTAATATTCGATTATACGAATAATATAAAGAAAAAGGAGAAGTATAACGCCCTTAAACTAATTCTAATAAAAAATACTAAAACTATAGTAAATTACTAAGTAGCTACTAAAATAACTTAAAAAACTAATAGTAATAAAGTATATTTTATAAATAATATAAAGGA